GTAGGAATATTGCATAGGCATCTGCTAAGTTTCCAAGTGAAGAGTTAACATCGCTATGACTAACTTGACCTGAACATTTTCCATGTTGATTTGTCCCAGTTTTGTTTTGGCAGAATAGTAGATAATACAATAAAACATTCAGTGGAGCATTATGCTTTGCAGGGGGAATTTATCCAAATTTTTTGGCAATGTAGAATTACAAAAGCAAGTGTGAGGGGGGGAAAATATGTAACATTTTAAAAAATGAAGTTAGAGAAAAAAGAAAATCCTGCCTTTCATATGTTGAATGATTTGCCACATAAAGTAAACATGTCTGGGATTTATTCACAAGACATTTATGAACAGCATTACAATAGTGAAATAAATACAGAGCACTGGAAAAAATGCTTCACCTCCACAGAGGAGGAATAAATTACTTCACTCACACAGGCTACAGCTGATGAGAAAAAGGTATGTAGCTTTCAAAATAACAGAGATGTTTAATAACACACTGAAATGCTTCATTAACTACACTAACTAAACAGGAGTTGTGATTATATTATATATATATATATAAAATATATATTTATAAAATAGGCACTCTGATATCATGGTGATGTACAAAGTATAAGAACTTGGATAAAATACTGTATTAAATATGCAGAGCACACACAATGTTGTGGTGTAGTATAAAGGGTTTATTAGCAAGAGTTTGAGATGGCACATTACTCATTAGCAAAAAGAAAAGGAGTACTTGTGGCACCTTAGAGACTAACCAATTTATTTGAGCATTACTCATTAGCAGTGAAGCCATGAGCAATTTATACAGGTCTAAACATGTCCTGAGGAAAATTTTATACCCTACTAACCCACCATGTTTTTGCATATGCCACAGAGGTTAACAGAAAAATGTTTTTTAAAAAGGTCTTTTACTGGGACTTTTTTTAAAGAGACAACTGAAAAGCTAGCGATTCACTTCCGATGAGTCCAACTGTACAAGGCAGCCTCGGAGTAAGCCACAAAGAACCCTAAAACTAACCTAAAAGTTTTATCTAAAATCAATGGGGCTTTGAAACTGGATAACTTGAGACCTTCCATAATTAGAATCAAATGCTGACTCCCACTGGGAAGCTGGGATAGTCCTTTTTTCTGTGTTATAATGCTCCCATTTACAGCTCTGTGAAGTCATAACACATTGAGCTCTAAACATATTACATTCCAGGAGTACTGATTGTGATTTTAGAGGGGAAATTCCACAAGTCAAGGAAAGAAAAAATGATTTATCTGGCAGGTTAACATGACTGTTTAAATCTATTTAATGATGAGGAAAATCAGAAATAAGCCCAGCTGAGATGCATTAATGAGCGGAGTGCAACTGAGGTGGTCATGTTAATTGAGCACATGGCTACGAATACCATATCTATGGTGTTCTCTACATATATACCCATACCTAGAAATACACACTTGCACATACACTTACATTGAGATATAAACATAGATATAGGACCACTTCTGCAGCAGGAAGGTGGGGGATACCTGGATAGCCCCCAATACACATTTTGATGTTAAATATGTCAGTCAACTTTAACTTTTCAACAGTGCACCCCTCCACTAAATTGTTAGTGCACAGTGATGTGACAATAAACAGCTCAATTGTGACTTTGCCATGAGTTCAAAGGAATGGATAGCACATTGTTACTCCTGCCCCAGGAGTCTCCCTGCTGCTCCAAGAAGAGAGTAAATCATGCTGGACCTTTACCCAGAGCAAGCAGTGTATGCTCCCCAACATGCTGGCACAGCTCTAACCTATCCTTGCCTTCTTCTGCCCTTCCCACTTAGCTATATAAGGGCAGGACACAGTGGTTCTGCAGAGTCTGCTTCCCCTTGTACTACTATCTGTATGTGGACACTCCTACACCACTGCATTAGCTAGGTCATAATTTGACCAAAAATAAATAAATACTCGTAGACAGCAATTGGTTAGCTTTGGGGTGGTGTAGAATAAACATGAAATTAAAGAATTACTGTTAGCTTGAGTTTGGATACAAAAAGATACGTGTGTTGTAAAGGAAGGCCCTGACTAGCAAGTAGAAGGAAAGCCTTGAAAATAATAAGGATAAGGACACAAGGAATAAAATAAGGAAGATGTCTGTTCAAAGAATAACAAATGAGATAAGGGAAAGCTTCTAAAAAGAAGGCCTCTGTTGAAGGATTTTATCTTACAGTTATAACTTTTAAAGATAGTCAGGTCCATTACAGTTATAATATAATTGTAGTTTTCTAATATCTGCCATTTACACTATATATAAGTATTTCCAACAAGGGTAAGTGCAAATGGTTTTAAATAGGACAAAAAGAATCTGTCTTAAAATGAGCCAGCATGGCCCTTCCCACCCCACACACCAGCATTAAAGTCTGTGTGAATCCAGAACAAGCTGTCCGACAGCAAGAAGGAGGGGAGGAAAGGAAGTTGTAAATCTCATCTGAATAAGGACTGGAAATAAGGGGGAATTGTCTCAAATTGGTTTTAGCTGAAGTCAGTAACTGGCAATGACAGCACTTATTTGTTGAAGAGTATACAAAAAGTAAATTCAAATAAGTCATTGCCACTACTTGCCTGACCACACTGGAGCCAACCAATATGGTTCTAAGCACCCTTGGGTTGAGCCCGTTTGTAAATATCTTGATCAAATCCTTATAAATGTTTTGTTACTGTTTGGATGTAGTAAACTGCTTATTATTGAGGCTTTTTAAGCTTGTTAAGAGCAATTGTTCACACACCATTTGGCCTTTGGATTTAATAAAGGAATTTGTGGTTAAATTAGAATTTGGTGGTTTCCCACATTAATAAATTTCAAATATTAATAATTCCAACAAATGGGGAGAATTTTTTCACAGGCCTACCCTAAATGACTAATGTTGCCACTACATAAATAAATAAATACACACACAAACACAAATGCACACACAGAAAATTATAATCATATATAATACAAATACATTCAAATGTTTTATATGTACACAAACGTATGTTATAATGGGGAAACAACCATAAAACTGTAAAAAAAAAAAAAAAAAAGGTCTCTGATTTGTTTTCCTGTCTCCTCTTTCTTGTCTGTCTCCTTTTACTATTTTTCCCCACTTCTTTAGGGAATACAGTAGAACCCCAAAGTTACAAACACCTTGGGAATGGAAGTTGTTCATAACTCTGAAATGTTCATAGCTCTCAACAAAACGTTATGGTTGTTCTTTCAAAAGTTCACAACTGAACATTGACATAATACAGCTTTGAAACTTTACTATGCAGAAGAAAAATGCTGCTTTTAACCATCTCTATTTAAATGAAACAAGCACAGAAACAGTTTCCTTATCTTGTCAAATCTTTCTTTAAGCTTTCCCTTTGTTTTTTTAGTAGTTTACGTTTAACACAGTACTGTAATGTATTTGCTTTTTCTTTTCTTTTCTGTCTCTGCTGCTGCCTGATTGCATACTTCTGCTTCCAAATAAGGTATGTGGTTGGTCACTTTGTAACTCAGGTGTTCGTAACTCTGAGTTTCTATTGTATTCATATGTATTCATTTATATATTACATATGCAATAATGCCAACTCTGGATTTTATCATAAAATTCTGCAATATTTGCTGTTTCTCTGAAAGCCCCAGCTCTTCAAGCTGAGAATCTCAGATTTTATTATAAAAAAATAAATAAATAAGTTTCTACCCTTCACAGTTGTGAAAAGCCTCCAAATGTTACCTGTGTGTGACCTGAAGGCTCAGGAACCAGAGGGCACATAAAAAGAACTCCCAAAATTATATAATTTCTTTTTAAATGTAATTATTTTTAAGCCAATCTCATAATATTTTGGGAACTTACTAATGATTTTTTAATGCTTGTTTTGGCAATACTATACATAGTGTAAATGGCAGATATTAGAAAACTACAATTATATGATAACTGTAATGGACCTGTCATAAATATAAAGGGAAGGGTAAACCCCTTTAAAATCCCTCCTTGCCAGAGGAAAAAAATCCTCTCACCTGTAAAGGGTTAAGAAGCTAGGATAACCTCGCTGGCACCTGGCCAAAATGACCAATGAGGAGACAAGATACTTTCAAAAGCTAGGAGGAGGGAGAAAAACAAAGGGTCTGTGTCTGTCTGTGTGATGCTTTTGCTGGGGACAGAACAGGAATGGAGTCTTAGAACTTAGTAAGCAATCTAGCTAGATATGCGTTAGATTATGATTTCTTTAAATGGCTGAGAAAATGAGTTGTGCTGAACAGAATGGATATTCCTGTCTGTGTGTCTTTTTGTAACTTAAGGTTTTGCCTAGAGGGATTCTCTATGTTTTGAATCTAATTATCCTGTAAGGTATTTACCATCCTGATTTTACAGAGGTAATTCTTTTTTACTTCTATTAAAATCCTTCTTTTCAGAAACTGAATGTTTTTTCATTGTTCTAAAGATCCAAGGGTTTGGATCTGTGGTCACCTACGCAAATTGGAAAGGATTTTTACCAAACCTTCCCCAGGAAGTGGGGTGCAAGGGTTGGCAGGATTTTGGGGGGAAAGATGTTTCCAAACAACGCTTTCCTAATAAAAATAAACCCAGATAAACGTTTGGTGGTGGCAGTGGAAGTCCAAGGGCAAAGGGTAAAATAGTTTGTACCTTGGGGAAGTTTTAACCTAAGCTGGTAAAAGTAAGCTATAAGGTTTTCATGCAGGTCCCCACACCTGTACCCTAGAGTTCAGAGTGGGGAAGGAACCGTGACAGGACCTGACTATCTTTAAAAGTTATAATGTAAGATAAAATCCTTCAAATGTACTACTGTAAATTTATTACCCCCTTCAGGCTAATCGGGATAGTGAACAATCAGGAAAGGCTTAACTTTTGATGCCACAATGATGTATTTTGTTAAACTCTTTGGTTAACACTCTGAAATGCAGTTTGTGACACAAGAGCCAGATTGTACATTTTCATATAAATACAGGTTTTACAAATGTGAGTAATAATAAAACTCTTACCTGGTTTTTCTGTTCTAATTCATTAACTGAACTTTGAAGTTTTTGTTGTTCCTGCACATACACAGCAACCTCCTGAGGGCCTTTTGCAAGCTCAGCCCTTAGTTGATTTATGGTGGCCTAAATAAAAAAAAAGTTATGATTAATAATAATTTACATTGATAGCCCAAATATAGACAGGAGGTCTGGGGTGGGGGTGGGGGTGGGGGCAAAATATAAACCAGCTTTCAAAAAAGAATGTGTCTTTAATTAGCATGAACTACATGTGCAAATTTTGGCCCATGGAAATACCGGGGAAGGAAGAGGAATCCCCTTGCTGAGATCCTTTCACGTCATCCCATCAGGAAGACGGTTGTTTGGCCTCTCCAGTGGAAAAGGCCAAGGAGCCCACCCCCAAACCTGGCAGATCCCAAAGGATCTGCGTGGAGGCCTTGTGTCTCCCATAGCTCCGACCGTCAGGGGAACTGGGATCCCTTGGCTCCATTTTCAGTGGTGTTGCCAAGATCTCTACCCAGCCAGGAAGGATGGTCAAGTGGATAGGGCACTAGAAGGGACTTAAAACGCCAGGTTCATTTCCCAGTTCTGCCACTGACTTCCTGTGTGAGGTTGGACAAGTGACTTAAGGTGTTTTTTTTTCCCCTCTCATGCTGATAATAGCTCATCTTACCTGATCTCTCTCGTTACAGTGTGTATGGTAACTCCCATTGTTTCATGTTCTCTGTGTATATAAAATCTCCCCACTGTATTTTCCACTGCATGCATCCGATGAAGTGAGCTGTAGCTCATGAAAGCTTATGCTCAGATAAATTTGTTAGTCTCTAAGGTGCCACAAGTACTCCTTTTCTTTTTGCAGATACAGACTAACACGGCTGCTACTCTGAAATTAATCTACCCTGTATCTCATTTCCCCATCTGTAAAGTGGGGATAACAGTTCCCTACCTCACAGGAGTGATGTAAGGATAACTACATTAATGATTGTGAGATGTTCAGATACTACAGTAAGGAGGGCATAAGTACCTTAGACAGATAACAATGGCTGCCCTAGGCTTTCCTCTTTAAGGGCTAATTTCTGTGAGACAGATGCACAATGTGCATCACCTAGTCCCCATCTCCTCCCCTGGCAAAGACCCCAGACTGCAGAGAATCTCAGCATCGCACACAGGAAATGGTGAGGGGGGAAAAAGAGTGGTGGGGAACAAGGTGATGTGGAAGGAAGGAAATAAGTGTGTGGAGGATCCCCTCCATGCATGGATTTAGGCGGCATGATCTGCTCCTTAAAATGGAGGACAAAGGAAACTGCTTTTAATAAAATGTGAGTTAATACTGAGCTTCCTAATTAAGATGCGTCTGAAGCAAACCATCCAATGGCTAACAAGTCCAATTCATATGCTTTTACTCTTTGTTTTAATCTTTCTGCAACAAAGATACTGAGAAACATCAGCTTTCTGCATTTTAAAGATGAATGAGGAAAAATAAAATGCACGTTGTGTTTTACCTTTGAGACACATAGTACACAAATGGCATTATTTGTTATAAATGCTTTTCCTTCCCCTAAGTTATACTAGCCACAGATTTATGGTCACAAGTACAGATGTTAATTTGATCATTTCCTTTTTTTCAGAAAAAGAATAGCACATCTCATGAAAGTTTACACTATTTTGTGCATGTAACAAAAGTTACCAGAAAGAAGCAGCAGCCCATAAATAAAGACGAATTACTTTGTCTTGTTCATAAAATAGGATACATTTTGGGGAAGAGCAAAGAGAATGTATAAACATATTCATTGTAAAAATATATGTTGCTATTAACGCTAACTTTTCATAATGGCACATTTTATACTGCTGTAGTTGCAGAGTTGTTGCTAAAAAACATGGGATCTCTACTGTGCAAATGCACTGTTTTGTGAGAGTATCCAGAAAAGTACACAGACATTTTGTAGAAGTGATAATGCAAATGCAAAAATGCACACATTTGTCAAACACTATTGCAGCTGTTTAAACCAAAAACAGAACAAGAACCTACAAAGAAGAGTTACTGTAAATATATTTCAAGTTATAGTTCTGGCAGCCATTGTTCAAAAAAAAAAAAAAACCTCATGTTTAGTTATTAAACAGGAACAAAGTGAGGTTGAATAATCGTTTAAAACATATGCTGGCTGATGTGTTTATTTGATTAATAAACCAATAAGCAAACAGGAACACATCTGTTTAACAAGGTCTTGATGTTATCTTGAGACTGCAGAATTACAATGCAATGATAAAAAGCTTTCACCAAAAAATTACCTCAAATGTAAGCGTCTCCATTAGAAAGCAGAAAAAATAAAATAAAATGATGGATGAAATGTGGAAACAAGTAGTGATCAAAGTTTTAGGTACAATTCTTCAAAATCTATAGTCAAACATTATCTTTCTATGCCTTTATTTAAAGAGACAATCTTGACTTTATCATAACAAAGGAACTTTATACAGAAATACACATTTATTTGTGTTAATACCCTCTACTCATGTTAATGTACACTGGAAATAATATCAACAATCTAGCAGGTGTCTTATGCCTTGTCTCTTATGCCAGGTAGGCAATTATCCCATATATAAATAAGTGAAATGAGTCCCTGCAAAGATTCACACACATGCTAAACTTGACTGCAGTGAGACTATCCACAGTGAATGAAGCTAAGCACAGTGTGTGAAGTTAAACATGTCTTTCCATTGATTTCAAAGGCTTTTGGAGAAGGTCTTATGTGTTTTAGGTGCTGAACAGAAGATTTATTATGTGGGATTCACTATAGTGAGAAACTAAACATGGGATAATTATGAGGATCCCAAAATCAAATCTAATCTAACGAAGACAGCAACCTGCCATCTTTTCAAGTATAACTCCATAACAAGCACAGCATACAACAGCCAGTGAATAAGAAGGCGAGACGGTGAAACGCAAAAGAAGAGCTCAGCATACAGCTGGATCAGTGATTTTTAAATATGAAAAATTAGAATTCTTTCAAGAGTTTTTAATTAGTTAATGCCAAAATGAAAATTTAGTTCCATATGTTGCTCCTTACTTTTAATCCTTAGCAATGAAGGTCAAAAAACCCAAGCACAAGATGACAAACACAAAGCCAACAATTAGAGCAGAAATGTCACAAATATGGAAACAGTAAATTTTTTCACCTCAAAACTCCTTAGTTTCTAAGTATTTAAAGGAAAAAATCCATTAAAAACAGTAAGATTTTTTTTCTTATTCTCTCAATTCAGGCTATACAGTTCTCTTTTTTTAAAATTACATTCTCTGGAAACCGATACTACGAACATGAGAAGATATGGTTTGAGTTCTTAATGCTATTTTAGTTAGATTCTCAATCTGCACTCTCAGCATTCTAAGCAAAAAGATCAAGGACTGTGTTATAGTTACAGGATGAGCTGTGCTTCAGACCCCTTTTGATCCCTCATGAATGCATCCGTCTGGAGACGGGTTTTACTACCTTCACCCCTTTTTTGGTGGAACCACGCATTCTACCTCTCTCAGAATAGGTCTCTGGGCTGCAGCCCCCTGTTCACCAACCACGTTAACACAACAGGCCCAAGTGTGTTTAGCTACTGTAAACCCTTTCCCTCCAGGGTCAGTGACATGGGCTGATTAAAGTGACTCAAATAGCTTCTTCAAAACAAGGAATTTTTTATTCACTCAAGGGTGCACAGCAAGTAGAGAAAGAGATAAAACAATAAAAGGCCTATACACCTGGGTCTTACCTAAAATTTATTCTTTCTGTGCAAGTTTTATGTAAGTTCCACTCAGCCCAGCCACCCCTACTGCTGATTTGGGAGAGACAGAAAGCCCTTCTACATTCTGTCAATGTCTCACTCTCAGAGGGTACGTCTCCACTGTGTTTTAAAACCCATGGCAGCAAGTCTCAAAGCTCGGGTCGATAGACTCTGGCTCACGCTATGGCACTAAAAACAGCTGTGTAGACATTTGGGTTGGGGCTTTGAAGCCCATGTTAACATGGCTGGTAAAAAGGGGAGGCTGTGGCCCACCTCCTCACCCAGGCCTTAGAGTCCTAGCTCCAACCCAAGCCGCAACATCTGCACTGCTGTTTTTAATGCTATAGTGCGAGTCCATGTCTGTAGACCCAGGGTTTGAGACTCGCTATGATGGATTTTCAAACACAGTGGAGACATACATACGGAGACTCCTCTTCAACCACTGCTGCTTATTCACTCCCCCGCCTTTCTAGGCTAGGGTCTTCCATGGTTTAATATCCTTTTGAAACTAGGCTTGAGCCTGGGAGAAATTAACCTGCTAGCCTGCTTGAAGCCAGGCAGATGGGCATTTCCCAATTAAGGGGCCCTTCACTGTTCCCTTAAGGACCCTTTGTATTCTCTCTGGAGGTATCTTATCTCTGTAATTGTTTCATTTCCCATTAGTTCCCTCCTAACAGCCTCCTTTGATTTAATTCCATGAAATCAGGCAGCATAATATCCAGCAGGTAAACTGAGGCAAATGTGATTGTCAGAAAATAATACAGATAACTCCCTCATGCTCCACAGACTGAATAGTCAGAGACTGAATTACTCTCTCAACCCCAGAAGTGATCCCTCAAGAACAGGGCTGAATTACGGGCATGGGGAAGCTTTCACCACCATTACTATACACATTCCATGGGTAGAAGCTTCAGTTTCCAGTGTTCTCAATCTAGCACTTTTACAAACACATTTTATTAGTTTTAAAAAGCTAAGTGGAATTCAGGCTACTGATTTTAAAATCTGTTCGATCTAATATCACTTCTCATAGACAGCAAAGTTTTATTTTAATGTAGTTTACCTGTCTCACATTACAGTCACTGATATGTTAAAGATTATGACACAGAGGAGATAACATTTTATAGAAGAATGAATTACCACTACGTAATTTAACACTTAAATTGTACCAATTGTCTTTGGTTCACTTTAAATAGTAACGATCCAATTTTTCATAGATAGCTAATTTCACTGCAAACACACAACTGGAAATTTAGTCAATATTTCCCTCCCCCAGCCCCACCAAGATTTCCCATACATAGGCATGAGAATAACTAGTGACACCAATAAAAAGAAAAGGAGTACTTGTGGCACCTTCGAGACTAACAAATTTATTAGAGGATAAGCTTTCATGAGCAACAGCTGATTTCATCGGATGTATACAGTGAGCTGTAGCTCACGAAAGCTTACCCTCTAATAAATTTGTTAGTCTCTAAGGTGTCACAAGTACTCCTTTTCTTTTTACAGATACAGACTTAACACGGCTGCTACTCTGAAACCTGTCATAGTGACACCAATGCAACCCTTCTCCCCTATATCTGCTACTACATCCAACAAGAGAGATAATAAACATTAGATTGTTTCTGCTAAATGATATGCAGTGAAATAGTTAGCCATTTTGATATGTAACTCCATCCATTAAGATGAACAGCAACAGTTCATATTTCTGTTAGAGCTAGTTTTGCAAAATCTGGCAGACATCACTTTATGTTCAGTTTACACTTTCAGATGGTCTTTGAAACATACAAACTAGATAGCCAACATTTTGAAATGAAAGCTTAAATTCTGAAGTACAATTGTGCTATACTCAAAAATGAGGCAGAAATTTACATGGCCATATAACCAATTAAAGTAACTCCCCACTTAAAGTTGTCCTGGTTAACGCTGTTTCATTGTTACGTTGCTGATCAATTAGAGAACATGCTCATTTAAAGTTGTGCAGTGCTCCCTTATAATGTTGTTTGGCAGCCGCTTGCTTTGTCCACTGCTTGCAGAAAGAGCAGCCCGTTGGAGCTAGCTGGTGGGAGCTTGGAACCAGGATGGACCGGATGCCCCCCTAAGTTCCCTGTGCAGCAGCCGCCAAGCAGGCATGTCCTCCTGCCCCCCATCTCCATAGAGTCCTAGTTCATCATTTAGCAGTAAACCATTCCCTGGGAAATATCCCACCCTCTTCCACCCTCTGACTCCACCACCTCAACCAAGCTTCACAATCATCATTGCTGTGTACTGTATTAAACTGTTTGTTTAAAACTTATACAGTGTATATACATATATACAAAATATAGTCTTTTGTCTGGCGAAAAAAATTTCCATGGAACCTAACCCCCCCATTTTTCATTAATTCTTATGGGGGAATTAGATTCACTTAACATCATTTCGCTTAAAGTAGCATTTTTCAGGAACATAACTACAACGTTAAGCGAGGAGTTACTGTATACTCAGGGCCCCAACTGCAACATTCCTTTCTTCACATACATGTTTGATCAAGCCTGTGAATGGCTTCTCCTTAGTCTAAATATTTTAAAACTTGAATAAGAAAATACTGGACTTATTGTTTGGTATAATACTGTACTCTTTATACAATTCATGTGGCCCCATGAATGCCTTGTACAGTCTCTGCAGGGCAAGGAAAGAAGAGAAGATGACAAGAACCCTGAGGAGTTTAGAAACAGTACAAGGCAGAGAGAACTGGTTACTCCACACATCTCTAAAGCTCTGCAGGGGAGAGGAAGGAAGGAGGAGCTGGAATCTATAGAGCTCCGAAATTCCACAGGGCAGATGAACCAGGAGGGTGGAGGTGGGGGAGGGCTTAAAGGGGTCAGTTATTCTGCACCATTGCAAAGGTCTCTAGAACAGCATGAACTGGGGTAACTTGCAAAATGTATAAGCTTCTCTGAGCTGTACAGGATAGGGAAATACATAGTCATGGTGGAGTGGGGACCTTGCAGAGCTCCTGAGTTCCATATTGGCCCTATACTCAAAAGAAGGAAATTAACAGACAGATAAATTTGTTACTTTTAGCACAAGCATCTCCTCACCAAAATTTTTTGATCCAAGCCAAAAATTACAACAAGATTATAGGTGTTAAGATTGCTACCTCTCGCTGAAGTGCAAACATATTCACACCAAGGACTGTTCCAGTTTAAGAAAGCCTAAGCATTTAAAAGTCTGGAATGAATAGTTAAAGTAAGGTAGATACGTATTCAAGTATCCTCACAGTTCAGATATTCTCTGAAACAAACATGCATGTGTAAAAATAAAATCACATTGCACATTCCAAAAACAACCTTAATTCAGACTTCCATTATCTACCCACCTAACATTTAACAGGAAATGCTTATTGGAACAACAACAGTTTTGAGAATATTTGAAATCACTGATTACAGGTCAAAACACCAAACATTCTCCAAGTTTCTTTGACCCCCTTTCTCTTCTTCCTAGGTGATTAGGTAATGTAGTAACTTCATTTAATCAAAAGGGTATACTGAGATCTGTGACCTATTGAGTAGAGCATGATTGGGGAAATATTGTTAAGTATTTTCAGACCTCTCAACACTGGTCTAATTCTGCTCCCATTGAGTTCAACAGATGCTGGTTAGGCCAACACTGAGCACTTCTGAAAAACTTCTGAAAAACCCACCTACAATCTTACCTCATATGGAACGTGAAGTCTCACTTTGAAAGGATAAACAGGAAAAAAGGGCATGGGGAGATACAGGGCTATATATTTCCAGGACATATAATTAAGGTGGAAGTAACAGATTTTGTTTTCAACCTCAGAATGGAATAGTGGACGAAGAAAAATAGTTGTGTCTCTGGTCTGACCATGAAGGATGAGACATGATATATTGGAGTTTCTTGGCCAAAACAGGTAGTTGGGACTGGCAAGAGCTTAGTTTCTGGTTTGTATATGGAGGATAATAGGCAAAATGTTGGTTTCTACAGCCAATAATGAGCAGGTGAACTGAAGGATACTGTGGGGTAGGAGGGCAGGGGGAGTATGTGAGTGATTTTAAGGTTTGTAATTTATATGCAAAATATAGATGTGATAAAGGGTAAGTGTCAAAAGGCTTCTGATTAATAGGTTAATGCTGGGTAGAAAAATGGCACAGAATTTACACTGATTAAAAAAAATCACAATGCATATTCTACAAACACATGTACATTTATTTAAGGGACTACAGGAACTGTGAGAACATTTAAATAGTTATCTACCTTGCATTAATGGTTCATTTTCATATATTTTATATGCTATGGAGGTTATTTAAAACTGTAACCCTGTTTTGTAAACATATGTTTCAATTTTAATGTTAAGTAGCAACCCTAACCTTAGGTAACAATTAGTTTCTGTCTCTGTATTACAGTACACAATTTAGGAAAGCTCAAAATATTTTTTCTCTTTTTGAGGCAGAAATTTATTGCTCTGTTTCCGTGCCTCACTGGAGAGACCACTACATATGCCAGCAGGGGAGGTTGCTTCTCCTCTACATGGCTGTACAAAACTAACTTTTCATGCTAAAAAGAGAGTTTTTTTAAAACGATTTTATTGTCTGGATACCAATGCACAGATTGTATCAACCTACTCTAATCTAATGAAACACTCCCTACCAGACTAGTTAGGGAAGAAAGCAAAGTTCTATTCAGTGTGATGGATTAACATTCATCATTATCATTTGAAAATCATGGGAAAGCTAAAACATGTTCTACGCCTTTTTGTTTGGCTTCATTACCTCCGAGTTTGCGTGCTCTGCCTGCAAACGCTTGCACTCATCTTTCAGCTTCTCTGATTCTCTCTCACGCTCCAAAGTCATCTTGTCCATCAATGTCTGAACTTGGACCAGCTCCTTCTTTAGAACAGAAACATCCTCCACACCAGGTCTTTGCAGCTGAAAGGCAGCATAACAATAATTACTACCTATAAGGATTTCTAATACTGACACATATGTTTTCAGATTCGCTTCATATTCACTCTCTGCAAAAGCTTTCAAATTCATTTCTTAAGATTTCCTGCTGAAACTATTTTAAGTTATTTCCAGACTCTTTATTTTAAGATACACTTTCATTTTTATCTAAACAGAGAATGATATTATTTATCAGTGTTTTTATTATATATATTGCTGTAGCACCCAAAGCACCTAATCAGGCGTGAGGCATTAGGCACTCTGTTCACATTCATAAAGACAGAGTCCCTGCCCTGAAGAGCTTACAATACAAAAGAACAACAGAACAGATGAGGAGTGGAAGGAAAAGATAAACCTTACAGGCAAAGCAGCCAGGGTGGTAATCCCAGCCATACATCACAGAGACAAGGTGGGTGAGGTAATATCTTTTATTGGCTCAACTTCTGTTGATGAGAGAGACAAGCTTTTGAGCTTACACAGAGCACTCTGTCAGGTTTGGGAAATGTACTCACAATATCACAGCTAAATGGAAGGTGGAACAGATTGTTTAGCCTAGTAGTTAACACATATTTCCAGAGATCATTCAAGGTAAAGTGGGGAAGGAAGGGTTAGTGGGTTATAGATTGCTGTAATAAGCCATAAATTCAGTATCTCTATTCAGTCCATGATTTTTTGGAGTCTAGCAAAGTTATGAATTCAGAAATCCACCCCAAAGCACATTGCCAAACTCATCCATTTCATCCTCACCCATAACTATTTTACATTCAGCAAAAAAACAGTCCTTTTGCCAAACCATGGGAACAACCATCGCTACTAAGATGGTTCCCCAATATACCAACCTCTTCAGAGGCCACCTTGAAGAAGAATTTCTGAACAAATGCACCATGAAACCAATGATATACCTGAGATACATGGATGACATTTTTATCCTCTACACAAATGACCTAAACTCCTCCACAACGTCAACAACCACCACCCATCCACTAAACTCTCTCTAGAACAGTGATTCTCAACCAGAGGTCCGGGGGCCCGAAGCAGGTTTCAGGGGGCCCAACAAGCAGGGCCGGCATTAGACTTGCTGGGACCCAGGGCAGAAAGCCGAAGCCCCACCGCCTAGGGCTGAAGCCCAGGGTTACAAGCCCTGCCATCCAGGGCTGAAGCAGAAGCCCAGGCAACTTCACTTTGCAGGGCCCCATGGTGTGGGGCCATGGGCAATTGCCCTGCTTGATACTCCCTAATGCTGGCCCTGGCTTTTTTATGCAGAAAAACAGTTGTTGTAGCACAGATGGGCCATGGAGTTTTTATAGCATGTTGGGGGGGCCTCAGAAAGAAAAAAAGACTGAGAACCTCTGCTCTAGAACACTCCCACACGAGCATCAACTTCCAGGGTATCACAACCGGTTTCAACAATGGAAGCCTACAGACAACTATATACAATAAATCCACAGATTACCACACCTATTTTCACAGATCCAGACACACCAAGAAATCTGTTTTCTATAGCTAGGCACTCAGATAGCATAGAATGTGCTCTGAAGAGAAAGTCCAGGATATATACATTTAAAACCACCTTCACCAAGCAAGGACACTCCACCAGAGAAGTAGATAGCATCATGGAATGGGCCATCCAAACACCCTGAGAGAACCCGCTTCAATATAGAAATAAAACCCCCTCTGACCACACAACTCTACTTTCCACCTACCACACCACACTAAAACCCATACGGGGTATATCATCAAACAACTACAACTCATACTCAATGGGGACAACATCCTGAAATAAACCTTCCTTGAACCTCCTCTTCTGGTCTTCAAACAACCCCGCAACTCCTCTCCAAGCTCATCATCAGACACAAGCTCCCTACAGATCAGGGCCCACCAACTCAAAGTAGCACCAGACATTGTCAGAACAGATGCAAAACTGTAGACATATCTCCATTTCTGCTATAATCAACACGCCCCACAACACACATTTCAAGGTCCATGAGTCCTACACATGCCTATCACAACATATGGTGTACTTCATCCAGTGCAGTAAATGCCCCAATAACAACTATATGGGTGAAATGAGACAATCACTATGTTCTCGAATGAACTCTCACAGAAAAACGATAAAAGACAAAAACATGGTAACACCCATGGGTGAACACTTTTCACAAAAGCGATCGCTCTATATCTGACCTATCTGTCCTCTTCCTCAAAGGAAACTTTCTTTCCTTTTCTTTCTTTCAGAGGCTTGCTTCCGGCAACTCACAGAAGTTACTAGATCACAGGCCCTGGTTCTCATGGGAGACTTCAATCACCCGGATATCTGCTGGGAAAGCAATACAGTGGTGCACAGACAATCCAGGAAGTTTTTGGAAAGTGTAGGGGACAATTTCCTGGTGCAAGTGCTGGAGGAACCAACTAGGGGCAGAGCTCTTCTTGACCTGCTGCTCACAAACCAGGAAGAATTAGTTGGGGAAGCAAAAGTGGATGGGAACCTGGGAGGCAGTGACCATGAGAGGGTCGAGCTCCGGATCCTGACACAGGGAAGAAAGGAGAGCAGCAGAATACGGACCCTGGACTTCAGAAAAGCAGACTTTGACTCCCTCAGGGAACTGATGGGCAGGATCCCCTGGGAGAATAACGTGAGGGGGAAAGGAGTCCAGGAGAGCTGGCTGTATTTTAAAGAATCCTTATTGAGGTTACAGGGACAAACCATCCTGATGTGTAGAAAAAATAGTAAATATGGTTGGCTTAAGAGTGAAATCCTTGCTGATCTTAAACACAGAAAAGAAGCTAACAAGAAGTGGAAGATTGGACAAATGACAAGGGAAGAGTATAAAAATATTGCTCGGGCATGCAGGAGTGAAATCAGGAAGGCCAAATCACACCGGGAATTGCAGTTGGCAAGAGACGTTAAGAGTAACAAGAAGGATTTCTTCAGGTATGTTAGTATGTTAGCAACAAGAAGAAAGTCAAGGAAAGTGTGGGCCCCTTACTGAATGGGGGAGGCAACCTAGTGACAGAGGATGTGGAAAAAGCTAATGTACTCAGTGCTTTTTTTGCCTCTGTCTTCACGAACAAGGTCAGCTCCCAGACTACTGCACTGGGTAGCACAGCACGGGGAGGAGGTGACCACCCCCTGTGGAGAAAGAAGTGGTTCGGGACTATTTAGAAAAGCTGGAGGAGCAAAAGTCCATGGGGCCGGATGCGCTGCATCCAAGAGTGCTAAAGGAGTTGGCGGATGTGATTACAGAACCATTGGCCATTATCTTTGAAAATTCATGGCTATCGGGGGAAGTCCCGGAAGACTGGAAAAAGGCTAATATAGTGACCATATTTTAAAAAGGGAAGAAGGAGGATCCTGGGAACTACAGGCCAGTCAACCTCACCTCAGTCCCTGGAAAAATCATGGAGCAGGTCCTCAAGGAATCAATTCTGAAGCACTTAGAGGAGAGGAAAGCGATCAGGAACACTCAGCATGGATTCACCAAGGGCAAGGCATGCCTGACTAATCTAATTGCCTTCTATGACGAGATAACTGGCTCTGTGGATGAGGGGAAAGCAGTGGACATGTTGTTCCTTGACTTTAGCAAAGCTTTTGACACGGTCTCCCACAGTATTCTTGCCAGCAAATTAAAGAAGGATGGGCTGGATGAATGGACTATAAGGTGGATAGAAAGCTGGCTAGATTGTCGGCCTCAGCGGGTAGTGATCAATGGCTCCAAGTCTAGTTGGCAGCCGCTATCAAGTGGAGTGCCCCAAGGGTTGGTCCTGGGGCCGGTTTTGTTCAATATCTTCACAAATGATCTGGAGGATGGTGTGGATTGCACCCTCAGCAAATTTGCAGATGACACTAAACTGGGAGGAGAGGTAGATACGCTGGAGGGTAGGGATAGGATACAGAGGGACCTAGACAAATTAGAGGATTGGGACAAAAGAAATCTGATGAGCTTCAACAAGGACAAGTGCAGAGTCCTGCATTTACGACGGAAGAATCCCATGCACCGCTACAGACTAGGGACCGAATGGCTAGGCAGCAGTTCTGCGGAAAAGGACCTAGGGGTTACAGTGGACGAGAAGCTGGATATGAGTCAACAGTGTGCCCTTGTTGCCAAGGAGGCCAATGGCATTTTGGGATGTATAAGTAGGGGCATTGTCAGCAGATCGAGGGACGTGATCGTTCCCCTCTATTCGATATTGGTGAGGCCTCATCTGGAGTATTGTTTCCAGTTTTGGGCCCCACACTACAAGAAAGATGTGGAAAAATTGGAAAACGTCCAGCGGAGGGCAACAAAAATGATTAGGGGACTGGAACACATGAGTTATGAGGAGAGGCTGAGGGAACTGGGATTGTTTAGTCTGCGGAAGAGAAGAATGAGGGGGGATTTGATAGCTGCTTTCAGCTACCTGAAAGGGGGTTCCAAAGAGGATGGATCTAGACTGTTCTCAGTGGTAGCAGATGACAGAACGAGGAGTAATGGTCTCAAGTTGCAGTAGGGAAGGTTTAGGTTGGCTATTAGGAAAAACTTTTTCACTAGGAGGGAGGTGAAACACTGGAATGTGTTACCTAAGGAGGTGGTGGAATCTCCTTCCTTAGAAGTTTTTAAGGTCAGGCTTGACAAAGCCCTGGCTGGGATGATTTAATTGGGGATTGGTCCTGCTTTGAGCAGGGGGTTGGACTAGATGACCTGCTGAGGTCCCTTCCAACCCTGATATTCTATGATTCTATGATTAAACCTGGACAACACCTTCAAAAGACATATGTAGGAACTTAAATTCATAGTTTTGCTCGACACTAAAATGATAGTTCGAATAGAGACACTGGATTTACATCTTATTACAACAACCTATAAACCACAAAATCCACCTCCAGCTTCTCCCTCCCCATGACTGGAGAGCTGTTAACAGGTCACTTTACCTTGAATGATCCCTTGAGATATGTGTTAGCTATTTATGTAAACAATCTGTTCCACCTTGTATTTAGCTCTGACACTTTGAATACATTTCCCACACAAGAAGAAGAGCTCTATGTAGCTCAAACCCTGTCTCTCTCACCAACAGATGTTGGTCCAATAAAAGATATTACCTCACCCACCTTGTCTTGCTAATATTCTGGGACCAACACAGCAACACCACCACTGCATGGGTTGTTTACATATTTGTTTTACATGTTACCCCAAAAAATGTTTTAGGTGAGCTTTTGGAGTGGAAAGTAGCACTTGGAGCTGAAGTGGGTGGGAGGAAGGGACTGTTGGTGTTGGACAGGGAACAGGAAAGAGAATAAAGATGAGACGGGAGTCAGAGAGGAAGGGGAGAAGGAGGGACAGAAGCACAATGGCCGGGAGAGTGAGGTTGGGCAGCTGAAGGATTGCCGTGGCAGGAAGGTGTGGACAGAGGAATGAAGAAAGGCCACTAATCAACAGCAATACAGAAGAGGAAAAGAAAAATCCAGAGTCCAAGTTTCACAGCTGAGTGAGTGAATGAAGATGACAGGAGGCTAGAAGACACCTCCTGGCTACTCTGCTTTTCTTTATATAGAAGAAAGGCTGCTGGGTAGCTTCTTCTGAGACCATGATTGTGAAAAAGGGTTACTAGGAATAACTTTTCTTTAGTATTTTGCCTTTGTGGAGCCACACTATTGGAATACATGTGCCCTGGGCAGCCACGAGCAACAACGGTAACACCAGTGTAGACAAAGTGATGACAGCTGCCAGCCTTTTAACCAGCACATCACCGAGGTCTGAGCAGAGCTGCTCTTATGAATGCAGTTGCCCGGTGGCAGCAACAGTGAAAAACATGAGGGGAAAAAGGCTAATATAGAGACACCCATTAAAGTCAACAACAATGGATCTATTCACATGAGTATATTCTAATCATAGTCAGTAAGGGTTGCAAAATTAGGCCTAAGTAAAACACGTATGAGGATTAATATTTTGTTTATGAAAGTCCTGAAATGAGGGAAGCCACACACAGGCCTCTGAATAGAGCACAAACAAGCATCATGTCATGCATACCTAACAATAATGCAAATCACTGAATAACCAGAGCAGGCAGAACATACATTCCTTGGCTGGGAAGTTATTGGAAGTTTAGAGCAATGGAATAGATAGTTTAGAAGAGGGGGTTTTCTGAGCCCCTCTTCCTCTCACAAATAAATCACTGTCCAAGTAAACAATGATAGTCTATTTTAAGATTATGTTTAGAATGGGCAAATGACTGAAAACCCTCTCCTTCTCATTTGGGAAAGGCATAATCAAAAAATAAATAAATAATAAAAAATGTGGTATGAATTACCAGTTCAGTCTTTAAATTCTCTATTATGGTTCTCTCTTTCTGTAGTTCTTGCATCAGGTTTGTCACTTTCTGCTCTGCACTTTCTCGAAGACTCATTTCCTCATCATACTTTGCCTTAATATCTAGTTAAGAAGGAAGTTATGCAAAAGATCATTCATTCAGGTTTTAATTAAAAGAAGAACGGATTGCATAATAATTTTATGTACTTACCTACAATTTCAGTAGCCAGCTGTGCGGCTTTTTGCTCAAACAGGTCTTTCATCTGCTTAATATTAAAATTTTCTACTTGGGTCTCTTCGAGTTGCCGTTCTAATGTTTCTAGCTCAAAAACAGCAGTATTTATTGAAAAAACTAAAATCAGAGGTTATACAGAAACTCGTGTTGATAAAAGAGCATTACAAATGAGTAACTCACCAAAGCTCACTTAACCTTCAATAGGATTGTTCATATGCTTAAAGTTAAACATGTGCTCAAGTGCTTTGCTGGAACAGGACGGTGAGCACAGCATTTTGAGGAATGAGCTCATAATCTAGCTAACCATTGGAAATTAGTTTATCCATTTTGGTCACTTTTTGTATACTGCTAATTTCTGAGCCCTGAGGTGCAGTCAGAAGTTAGTTAATAAGGATCAGCCAGAGATTGTGTGTGTACATAAGAAAGTTATGATTCCATGAGTGTCTCATGCAAATATAACATGGAACAAAAAAATTATAAACATGCAGATTTTTAAAAAAAGTGTTTTCTTTGGCAGCAAGCAGGGAAGACTGGCACTGAAATCAACAGAATGAGCATGGACAATTGGTTTAATTCAAATGTCAACACTCTGTCTTCCTCAACACAATGGCTGTTTGGATATTTAAAATGATTAAGAACATGTTCAAAAATCAAAACCATGATCAGAAGTACTTTTATGATCACAATAATTTCACCTCCTTTATCCTAGAAATGATGGAACCAATCAACCTCTTTCTAATGTTTCTTTACTCTAAAAATGAATAAGGCAACCTTACGTGTCCCTATAAACTTATTGAAAAAAATGTAGGCAAGAGAAGACATTACATAATTGTACCATTTTAGCCTTTCAATATAGGAAAAAGTATTTTTCATCCAGTCTGAAGTTTCACTTAACTTAATTTTTCTAACATACAGTACTGTAGTATTTCAATACAATGTAGAAACTTCTCTATTAAAATATTTCTCACCTGTAGATGCAGAAGTTGTCACTCCATCAGGTTTAGATTCCTTAAGAAAAGAAAAAATGAAGAAAAAGTGTGTCACTAGACAGTAAAGGTAACAACAAAAGTTTCAATAGCAGACATTTCCTGAGCATTTGAAAGAATTCCATACTTGAAACCTCTAGAAAGTTTACAAAAATAGACTTATGTGCTTCAATGCTGCAAAGCAATTTAGGACAGAAAAGGCCAAGACGACTTTCCATCATCTTATATCACTTAGCTATCATACTGATGCAGAACAGCAAGACTCCAATGCTAACAAGCCTTCTGTTATACTGAAATCTGCCTCTACAGCAATATATGTTGTTATACGCACTATTACATGCAAAAGGAGGAGCAGCAAGAAAGGAAAGAGAGATTTTCCCAAAAGGTTCAAGCAATTCTATACTTTTAATCCTTCACATATAGAGCGAAATTCACCCCTAATTCCTATTTCTGAGGTTTGTATAAATCAGTTCTGAAGTAACTCTTCTATATATGAAAATAAATTAGAGTTCCATTGTTTCAGGAGGGAAGTTTAATAAGGTAAAAGAGGCTACAATTAACTTTGTTTGGTGGATGTTTTTGGAGAAGATTTTGGAGGTTTTTAAGATTATATTGCCATTTTCAGAAATACTTTGGAAGCAATAAAACTACAACTTCTCAAATAGATGCAATAACAATGAAGAGACAGATAACCTGGGCATGGTCTGAATGAGCATACTGTGAGGAAAAATCTGACTGAAAATTAAAGGGCATGTAGTCATGAACAATCATAGCACCTTTAACATCCCTTCAACCTCATTCACAGTTATTTCACTGTATAGACAACCGATTTTTTAAAACACTTCAGGAATCAATTTATGGAACTAACTGAATTGGGCCACGTGCCTTACAACAAGGTATTAATCTTCGATGTCAAAGATGATAATAAACTGCTTGTTGTAAACCTGCTTCAAGAATTTTAAAGCAATTACTTGCTGCTGCTGCACTTTTTCTAATTCTTTCTTCAGCTCTTCTGAGTACCATCTCTCCTCCTAAACAAGGGGGGGCCGGGAAGAGAAAGTGTATTACAAACTCACAATTTAAGCTGCTAGCACAGTTCACAATTTGAAACCATGAACTATATTAAAATAAAATTAATTTCCAACCTTAAGTGAAGCTTGCAAGTCTTGAATTTCTTGTCGGAGTAGTGATATTTCATTGCTGAATAAAGATCCAGGAGTTGAGAAATGAATTAAGTCATTGTTAAATTTTGTTGATTAAACTTCCAGTACATGTAATAGCTCCTATTCAGCTTTATTATTACATAAGCTGGATACAGGACACCTCGCATTTGATCAGTGTCTTAATACAGTCTCACATTTTTAATTTTTTTTAATGTAATACAAACTGAACTCCCATACATTATCTCATTTTCAGACTAATCACCAGATTTTAAAAGTGCTTAGTCACCTTAAATGTCTTAATAATTTTTAGTCTAATGTATTTGGTCTATTCTCAGAATGAGTAATTGCATTACGGTTTATGGAATTTTCTTTTAACCCTGGTATTGGACCAAAAATAACCCAACTATTTCCATATTGGGGTCTTGGAGACCCCTAATATGTGAAAATTGGAGATAACACATGGGATGCATTTCAAACTGACTTTACTTGTAACCAGTGAACTATAAAATTATGAATAAGTTAAAACTTTCTAGATTCAGAAGAAGAAGTTACTCACCTTGTGCAGTAATGACGACTCTTCGAGATGTGTGTTTCTATGGGTGTTCCACTATAGGTGTGCTTGCATCTCTGGGCTGCTGATCAGAGAACTTCAGTAGCAGCGTCCATTAGGCCCACACATGCACTGTCTTTCCTTGTGCTGCACCATGAGGCTAGTCAGTGTGCTAAGCCCCCTTGACTTCCTACTCCCACATGGGACTTAAACCTGGTGTTGAGATGACTGACTAGGCCTCCTTTTGAACCCAGGGCCACCTATTCACTTACATACCTCTCAGTGAAAATGGCCTTCCTGACAGCAATTACTTCAGCCAGGAGAAATAGCAGCTCCAGTGCACCTCCCCCCTACAGGTATTCTTTCAGGACAAGGTTACACTCAGGCCACATCCAAAATGCACTCCTAAGGTAACCTCCCTGTTTCACATGAACTAATTGATTCATCTCCCAACCGATCAACAGCACAGAGATGCAAGCACACCTGCAGTGGAGCAGCCCTAGGGACATTATTCGAAGAAGAAGCACATTACACAGTACTTGTGTTGCGGTCTAACTGACCCCATGATGAAACACGTTTTTAAAAAAGGAACACACTCCACAGGTATTGGGAGCTAACTGACTCCATGTTTAGACAACAAAAATAGATAGCAACAGCAACAATATAAAAGGCACAAACACAGCAAAGTTGCAATAAATGGCCTACTTCTTTGAACAAATGGAGCTAACCGGTGACATATGTTCTAAAAATAGTAAGTTTTTAAACTTCACACATTTTTTGTGTGTTTTTCTATCTCATTCCCTGGAACAGATGCAACATTTTCCCCATTAGTCTCTGGATCAGTATCCAGGACACTGGACACTACTTCCCAAGAAGCCTTAGGAAAGGCTTGAATGTTCCTTTCATGTACCAGTGCACTAAAAATTTCTGTACCCAGGTCCCTGAGAAACATTCATCTCTTATTTGAAGATGTATTATGCCACTTGTGATTCAACAAAATCTAAACAACATATGCCTTCAGACATGCAGTGTGCATGTGCAATCCAATAGTGCGTCTTTGCCCCAGCCACAGCATCTGTCAAGCATGGATTTGTCAGAAAATGTATCTGACAATTGTTACTTCCCCAGAAACTCTTCCTAGCAACTGTAGGTGTCCCAGAAAACCAATTTGATGGCATTATCTTCGAAGAAACTCAATTTGCTGGACAACTGTGATGATACATGAGGCAAATGTTATCTGAATAGGGTAATAGGGTAATAAAATAGGGATAGGATACAGAAGGACCTAGACAAATTGGAGGATTGGGCCAAAAGAAATCTGATGAGGTTCAATAAGATATGCAGGTCCTCACTTAGGACGGAAGAACCCAATGCACACTACAGACTAGGGACCGAATGCTACACAGTTCTGCGGAAAAGGACCTAGGGGTGACAGTGGAGAGAAGCTGGATATGAGTCACAGTGTCCCTTGTTGCCAAGAAGGCCAATGCATTTTGGGATGTATAAGTAGGGGATAGGAGCAGATCGAGAGGATCGTTCCCCTCTATTCGACATTGGTGAGCCTCATCTGGAGTACTGTGTCCAGTTTTGGGCCCCACACTTCAAGAAGGATGTGGATAAATTGGAGAGAGTCCAGCGAAGGGCAACAAAAATGATTAGGGGTTGGAACACATGAGTTATGAGGAGAGGCTGAGGGAGCTGGGATTGTTTAGCTGCAGAAGAGAAGAGTGAGGGGGGATTTGATAGTGCTTTCAACTACCTGAAAGGGGGTTCCAAAGAGGATGGCTCTAGACTGTTCTCAATGGTATCAGATGACAGAACGAGGAGTAATGGTCTCAAGTTGCAGTGGGGGAGGTTTAGATTGGATATTAGGAAAAACTTTTTCACTAAGAGGGTGGTAACACTATCGTACCTAGGAGGTGAGAATCTCCTTCCTTAGAGGTTTTTAAGTAGGTTGACAACCCTCTGGATGATTTATATTGTCCTGCTCACAGGGTTAAGAACTCTTCCCTTCCAACCCTTATATTCTATGAAGTTTCACAGATCCCCAAGAACCTTTTGGTACTTTTTTTGGGGAGGAGGGGGATGACAAAAAACACTGAAACAGTGAAGATACAAACAATGCTGAAAGACTGATATAATCATATCATAACTGCTGCCTCAACATAAAAACCATCTGTGCTGGAATAGTTGCATAATTAAATTCAGGTCTAACTGACCCCAATAACTTTTGAATGACCGTTTTTGCTACACTAAAACCACAATAGAGTATGAAGATAAAACCAATGCTAACAAGCTCTCCTTATCATACTTTGAGAATACCTAAAGGAAAAAAGAGTCAGTGCCTTGCCTATCATGTTTTATTTAATTTTTGTTCATGTATTTGGGGTGCAGGAGTCCCCCAAAGACCTTGGAAATGTAGTACTTTCATTTTTCCCACTGACTAACATTGAGGCGGTCTAACTAGGAAGTCCTGGATGATTGGAAAAAGGGAAATATAGTGCCCATATATAGTTTAAAAAAGGGAAAAAAAAGAGAACCCGGGGAACTACAGACCAGTCAGCCTCACTTCAGTCCCCGGCAAAATCATGGATCAGGTCCTCAAAGAATCCATTTTGAAGCACTTGAAGGAGAGGAAGGTGATCAGGAACAGTCAACATGGATTCACCAAGTACAAGTCATGCCTGACCAACCTGATTGCCTTCTATGATGAGACAACTGGCTTTGTGGCTATGGGGAAAGTGGTGGATGTGATATATCTTGACTTTAGCAAAGTTTCTGATACCGTCTCCCACAGTATTCTTGCAAGCAAGTTAAAAAAATATGGATTGGGTTAATGGACTATATGGTGGATAGAAAGCTGGCTAGATTGTCAGGCTCAACGGGTAGTGATCAACAGCTCGATGTCTAGTTGGCAGCCAGTATCAAACAGAGTGCCCCAGAGGTTGGTCCTGGGGCCAGCTTTGTTCAACATCTTTATTAATGATCTGGATGATGGAATTAATTGTACCCTCAGCAAGTTCGCAGATGACACTAAGCTGCAGGGAGAAGTAGACATGATGGAGGGTAGGGATAGGGTTCAGAGTGACCTAGACAAATTGGAGGATTGAGCCAAAAGAAATCTGATGAGGTTCAACAAGGACAAGTGCAGAGTTCTGCACTTACGAAGGAAGAATCCCATCCACCGCTACAGACTAGGGACCGAAAGGCTAGGCAACAGTTCTGCAGAAAAGGACCTGGGGATTACAGTGGATGAGAAGCTGGATATGAGTCAGCAGTGTGCCCTTGTCACCAAGAAGGCCAATGACATATTGGGCTGTATTAGTAGGAGCATTGCCAGCAGATCGAGGGAAGTGACTATTTCCCTCTATTCGGCACTGGTGAGGCCACACCTGGGAGTATTGCATCCAGTTTTGGTCCCCCCACAACAGAAAGATTGTGGACAAATTGGAGAGAGTCCAGCAGAGGGCAACGAAAATGATTAGGGGGCTGGGCTCTTATGAGGAGAGGCTGAGGGAACTGGGCTTATTTAGTCTGCAGAAGAGAAGAGTGTGGGGGGATTTGATTACCTGAAGGGGGGTTCGAAAGAGGTTGGAGCTAGGCTGTTCTCGGTGGTGGCAGATGACAGAATAAGAAGCAATGGTCTCAAGTTGCAGTGGGAGAGATCTAGGTTGGATATTAGGAAACACTATTTCACTAGGAAGGTGGTGAAGCACTGGAATGGGTTACCTAGGGAGGTGGTGGAATCTCCATCCTTAGAGGTTTTTAAGGCCTGCCTTGACAAAGCCTTGGCTGGGATGATTTAGTTGCTGTTGGTCCTGCTTTGAGCAGGGGATTGGATTAGATGACCTCCTGAGGTCTCTTCCAACCCTAATATTATATGGTTCTAACTGACCCCGTTACCTTTTTGGTGACTTTTTTTTGCTACACAAAAATCACAATAGATAAGATAATAAAACCAATGTGGGAAGATTGACCTCACCCTAATTTGAGCATACTTAACGTATGAAGAAGTACAGGTTTGTCATACCAATTTTTATTTAAATTTTTGTGTGCACTGGGGTCAGACAGACCCCAAAACAGTTGAAGGGTTAAATATGCAAATTAACTTGATTTAGTCCTATATTCTGTTTTACTGGATTGTATCAACTAAATAATAGAACTTTAGAATGGCAAGATAGTGTATTAAAATGTTTAGCTGTGTTATAGTCCATGTTATTAAAAGTGCAGGTTAGTTCCCCCTCATTTCCCATATAATGTCAAGGGACAATGCTAGGAGTATGCTACCCTATTTGTTCTAAAATATGCAATTATATAATATTTAACACAAGAAGCAATTCAATGTGCCCAATAGTTATACCAATTTGAGGGCCTGAGTGCGCTGACATTCAAAACCCTGGGGCTTGTAACTCTCAAATTTCACTCAGAAGCCTGATGTTCTAGGTCGCCCAGGAAAACGAAATATGAGGAGGAAATGGTTATTAATCAGTTTGCATAGCACCTTTCTAAAATCTCAATTCATTTTGATGAATTAGAAAACTATACACATAAGGATCACATCACATCACTGAAACGCAGACACCCTTAATGTGGAATGAAGCAGCCATATTACTGCCAACACTACATTATTTCTTACTCTTATTATTGGTATGCAGTAAAAATCTGAGGCCCCAGTCACAACGAAAGGATGATACAAAAAACACTACACAACAATTCAGGGTCACTAAATAAAAAAGAAAATCTCTGATAAATATTATTAGTGTCTCACTAGTTATGTCTATATTGTAAGTTATCTATTTAAAGCAATAATGGGATTTAGGTCTTCTCTACACAGGAACGTTTGACCAGTTATACTGACATATTCATACAGATATAGTTATACCACCATAACCACCCGTGTGGACACACTTATTCTCTATAAAAATGGCTTTTTTTAGTTTAGTTTGTGTCATTTGGGAAGAGGTTTAAGCTAAACTGAAAAAGCTCTCTTATACTTGAACAGAAGTGTTCATGCAGAGGGGTTATACTGATATAACTATGTCAGTTTAAATTCACACCTTGGCTTTTACTAAAAAAAATGGCACTTTTCACAATAATGTGCTTTTCCTGGTCCAATTCCAAAATAGTTAGCTATATTTCACCTTTCTAAGCCTTGTCTAAATGGAAATCTTTATTTGGTATAACTTGAGGCACGAAGTTAAACCAACATATTTATACTGTACCAGTATAACTCTCTATGTGGACACTCATTTCAGTAAAAGAGAGTCTTTTTCCTCATTTATGCTTATGTCACTCTGGAAAGAGGTTTATGTTAAACTGAAAAGGCCACTCTTATTCTGCACTAAAAGGGTGTCCACACAAGGAATTATACTGGTATAACTATATCATCTTAAGAACTGGTAAATCTTTCCTGTGTATACAAGCCCTTGTATACAAGAACTCTTATTTCTTTTTGCTCCCCTTGAGCTACATGACTCCCAGTCCTTCTCCCACTTCTGTCTGCAGCCCCCCTAAATCTGATATATCATCCTTGATCCAGATATACTTTAAGTTCCTCTTTTATGTGATGTGTGACAATGACTATAAAAACATTATCTTACTCAGCAAATCTGTTCCCAATGCGTATTGATGGTCACATCTACTCACGTTAGTGAACAAAGTAAATTTGTATTGTTCTTTGTCTTCTTTTCCCGCAAAACAACAAAACTAAGACTGAGTGAGCTGTGGATTCAATCCATCTTGTGTATCATTGACAGAATTGTTTACTGCATTCCAGTCAGTTACACCTGTGCAACCTCACTGAAGACAAGGTGTTACTGAAGGCACAATTTGACCTATAGAACCTTTATTAATTACTGGTGATGATACACGAGATGGAAAGGACTCAGCTTGACTCTCAGAGACTATGCTGAATTTGCAGGGCTGGCACGTAGACAGAAAAAAAAAAGTGAACAAAAGAATCCCCATCTTTTTACTTGCAAACTGAGCACATTTGATAAGCAGATGAAAATAAACATGGAAACCTACAATGCCAATTGTACAGACTCACTTTTAAGAGTAGACCCACATCTTAAAGTACACTTCTTCCCAAAGGCCTAATCCCCAGCCTTCACCCCTATGTTCACAAGTCTTAACTGATGAATGACTGGGGAGGGTATTTAATATTAGCCCTACCTACTTCATTTTTAATGTCATCATTAAGTCATGCTACTTGTTACTTTCTAAAATATATCCTAGAAAAATCATTTTTATTAGTTTATTTGAATGGTTGTTTCCCCAATTTGAGCAGAAATAATCTGTTTTACATGTAATAAGAGAAATATGTTAAAAAAACATTCAAAACATTAAAAGCCTCAAATGTTAACGTGTACTCTTTCCTTTGCTGAGCTACAGAGAAAGACTCTTTGACAGCTCCACTACAGCTAGCGAATTTAATAGAATGAGCATGTTCAGCTGAGTGAAGTCATCAAGATCCCATGCCAACTGGAGAACAGTCAGTCAGGAAAAGCTTCCAGATCAGTGTGTGAAAAGAAGATCTCCAATGTCACTGGCTGTGAGCAATGGGATTTTGATGGATGTCCTGCCCTGCCATTTTGTGCCCTGCTGCCCTGCTTCTGTCAATGCCCAAGATGGCTCTCGGTCTATCCCAATTGCAATTGGAAAGAAATGGGAGCTCCTTCTTCCTACAGACAGTCACAAATAGGTTTTGGATTTTGTTTCGGATATTTTTATTTTCCCACAGTGGACTCTAACTTAATAGCCATTGCATGTTAAATTTTATGTTCTTTTCTTTACAAAAAACCTATCTTTCACCTTTATGAGTTCAATAGGTTATCCATGTTTTAATTAAATTATTTATCATTTTTGGCTTACTATTTTTATCAATCACAGAGGGTTTGCTCCACGGTTAAGACAACAGCTAGTCAAGATATTCGTTGAACCCAGCAGAGTTATACAATCTACACCTTTATTATATTAGCATCACATGTTCTCACACAGTATGTGACCACACTCAAAAGCGGCTCACCATCTTATTGCTATGCACAACCAAGACGAGAGTCATGGAATGCATAAAATGGAAGTAATACAGGCTGAAATGTACAACAGCCCCATATATCCATTGAACCGAAGGGGAAACAAGGTGGAACCTTGCATGAACAAATCCTCAGAGACAAGGAACAAGAGCCCAAAATCAATTTCTGGGAATGCTCAAATAAGAAGGGAATCAAGCCATGAGCTACCCCTATCAACTCCCGCTACAGACATAAGAGTCAACGTCACCTCCTGATCAACAGGATCAAAGGCAACCAATGGAATTAACAATATCAATATGTAAACCCAATTTTCATCTATCACCAGTCCAGTATCAGCTAGCATAGTATTAAACTAATATTTTAATTGGTTTTAGAAATGAGGCCTTATGATTTAAATACTTCACTACATAATTAACTGCTCAGATTAGTACTTGCTTAAATGTAATTAGACAGAAGACTAAATGCACAAATTAATATTGTTCTACCTTTTCGGTGAAGGATGCTCTTCTCCTCCATGACTTGAATCGATGCCAGACCCGTGAACTACTTCATAGTGCTTGAAAAGTTCTTCAGCAGATCCATGAGATTTCATACACAGAGGACAAATAAAGCCCTATTATAAAGGAAAGAAAATTCAACAGTAGTTTTTGCCTTTTCCAATCCTTTCCATCCTAACCAAGAGATTCATTGGTACCGTTTAACAGGAAAAATAAAATGTAGGAGAGTAGTTACCTTAAAAAATACCACTTATCTAATTCTCTGACATTATGGAAAGTAGAGAAGACTAGAAAAGCATAAAATAAACACCCTATTTCATTATGTAGTGCTGTTTTCCAGTAAAACTGTACCTATTGCTAAATTTCATTCCTAGAACTAGTACACAGAATTGTAATAAATTATAAGAAATGTAGCATCACAAAGGACTCAGTCACTATTTTAAATGTTTGAAGAAAGGCTGTGTTAAAAAGGCACTTTCACAAAATTTTTATTAAACAAGGGTTCTGTTCCTTTCAAAGATTTTCCTAGGATGGAGACCTTTTGAGAACCACACTCATAGTAATCAGACTGAATAAAAAATTGCAGAGAAGAGCCAGCCAGAAACTCCAGCCAGCAGGGGCAGAAGCAGCCAAAGCTGGGGATGCTGCACTGGGGGAAGAGGGTAAAATGGGGCCCAGCGGAGCCCATCCCTCCCCCCAATAACCCTCTGAACACAGAACTGTGCAGAAGAGACACCCCCCCATACACACACAACTCTTGGAGGCACTAGGACCCAGGTGTAGCTTCCCTACCTCCCTCTTATGTGGGCTTGGGAGAAAACTGCAGAGAAGAGCCAGTCAGAAACCCCAGCCAGTAGAAGCAGAAGCAGCCAACACAGGGACCTTGGGACATTCAGAGAACTTTCCACAAGTTTGACTCAACTTTCTCTGCCCTGTGCTGATTGACTGTTTGCTGCAACCATCCCCTCCCTCTCAGTCTCAGCTCTTCACTGCCCTCCTACGCTGAAACCATCAGCAGGGGCGCTCGCGAGAGGTGGGTGCCACCCCATCATCAAGAACTAAGAAGCAGCAGCTCACATCCGACCAGAAGAGGGGCGCTCACAAGAGGTGGGTGCTGCCCCGTTCCAAACTCAGAGATTGCAGACACTGAATCGGCCAAAGGGACCACTCACAAGAGGCAGGTGCCGACCCCGTTACACCACTCCTTTCATGGACAGTAGGGACATGCAATAAGTAGCTAAAGGCTCAAAGGGGGGGGGGGGGCTTCTTAGCACTGAGAGAAAGAGATTCACGTTCCATTGGGGTGGAACCTTCTAAGTAGGCAGGAAAGTCCTTATTGAGCCTTTCTATAATCTATTGGTTAGAGAGTGTGGAAAATCAAGTAGTCCTGAGTAGTTGGGATGGTATGTACTGATTGCAGATAAGTGCATTTGTAAGGAGCTGGTGGACAGACCCTATGTCTTTAAAGATAGGATACAGTTAAGATGACCAAAATATCTGTAAGTCTCTGATAGGATGCCACTTTGTTGCACCCAAGATGAGAAGGGTTTCCATTTATACTGCTGGGGGGATTCTGCGTGACTGTGCACCCGAAGAAAAAGCCTCCTCCCCCCACAGAATTCCTATGCTTCCCTGCAGAAAACGGCAGGGGAGCAAAGGGAAGCCATGCGGGGATGACCATGGGTGCAGTTTTTTGGGGGGGGATTGCCCCCCTCCAAACAGGGGTGAGGCATGGGGGGGGTGGCTACATGGGGTTACTTGCCCCCCCCCAAATTTCTGCGAGCGCAGAGCTGCCCAGCCTTCCTTTTTTTGGTGCAACAGTGAGTGCCCTCAGTGGGGCTGGGTAAGGGTGGGTGGGGAAATGAGGGAAGGCATGGTGAGGGGGTGGGGGAAGAGCCAGTGGGGAAGGAAGGGGGTGGAATAGGGCAGGGACAGGGGAATGTGGGAGTGAGGGGAGGAGGATGGAGAAGAAAAGGGGATAGGGGAATCGCAGGAGCTTGGAATGTGGCATCCCCTCAGCTGGACTCCCACGTTAAGCAGATCCATCGAACCCTCATCCTGACAAGCCCTGCCCCCCTACCCCCCGACAAGACCCACCCACAGCCCCACTGATCCGCAGACAGCTGCACCTGGACCCTCCTCATCAAGCCCCACTCCCCCAGCACCCGGACTCCCACATTGAACCCCCCGCCAAGCCCCATCTCCTGACACCCAGACCCCCCCGCTGAGCCCCAACCACCTTCACCTGGATCCCCTGCAGAGTCCCATTGCCCCTGCACCCAGAACCCCCCAATGAACTCTGTACATCCAGATCTCCCACTGAGCCGCCCCTACCCAGATTTCCCCACACAGAAACCTCTCGCCCCACACCTGGATACCCCACACACTAAGCCCCTCCATACTTGGATCCTGAGGGGCTGAGCCTGCCCACCCACACCTGGGACACCTGGCGCAGAGAGGCAGGGTCCAGGGGTGTTTCTGGGGCAGGCCCGGCCCTTGCACTGTGTCAGGGTCAGGTGCAGCCTCACTGCCAAGTCCCTGTACAAGGGGAGCTGGGGGCTTCCAGGTGATCTCCCAGCTCAGTGCAGCCTGTTGTCTGTGCTCCCCACTGCCATGCTGGAGCCAGATTTATTTACTGACAAATAAAATTTGCAGAATTTTGTAGAATTTTTTATTTTTTGGCGCAGAATTCCCTCAGGAGTGCATTTAGCTAGGTAGCATTTCTTTGTGGAGTCCTTTCTGCCATTAGAGAGGATCTCTCATAAAGCTGAGGAGTATGAATGTTCTAGAGATGATACCATCTAAATATGAGGTGGAGCAGTCATGGATTGTGGTGTCTGATTTTGCCATTGCACTGGGTCAGGAGCTTGGGGTATGTTGGGAGGATAATCAGTGGGCAACATGAGACACACAAGAGGTTGGGGAACCAGAACTATCTAGGCCAGAAGGGGGCGATCAAGATGACCCTGTCCTGTTGGATCTTGTGTAGGACTCATGGCAGGAGCAGCGGTGGAGGGAAGGCATAATTGAACTGGTCTGACCAGGAAAGTAGCAAAGCATCACCTGGGGAGTGATGACCTAGGGCCCTTCTGGAGCAATTTGTGGTATATCTGCTGTTTGTTTGAGAAGTGACTGTGGTTGGGGTTCCCCATAGAGCAGTGGTGGGCAACCTGCAGCCCGTCAGGGTAATCCGCTGGCGGGCCACCAGACCCACTGGCCAGGAACGGCGAACCGCAGCCACTGGGAGCTGCAGGCGGCCATGCAAATGTAAACAAACGGTCTGGCAGCCCATGCACAGCCCCCAGGTTGCCCACCACTGCCACAGAGTGAAAATGTTGTGAAGTTCCCACTCGTGGTTCAGTGTAAAGTGTCTGCTGAGGAAGTCAGAGAGCACATTCAGCTTTCTTGGAAGGTAAGCGGGTCATAGTGTGATGTGATTGCTTATGCACCAATTCCAGTGGTGGATTGCTTCTGCACACAGGGAGGCCAATCTCACTCCCCCTCGTTTGCTGAGGTAGAAGACAGTCATAGAGTTGTCGACATTATAAGGACACAGTGAGTGGATGAAGGGGAGAAAGTATTCTCACACCCACCGTACTGTTTATAATTCCAGGATATTGATGTGCATCCTGGATTTTCAAGGTACACTAGCCCCTCGAGCTGTGTGGCTGTTCATATAGGCTCCCCAAACTAGCAGGGATGTGTCCATAATTATGGTTCTCTTTGGAGAAGAGAGGAGAAAAGGGACCCCCACATATACGTAATGGGGATGTGTCCACCATAGGAGCGGGGACAGTAGCTTGGTCGGGACTGTCACCACAAGGTTCATGGAATGGCAGCTCAGGGAGTAACATGACTGTAGCCAAGTTTGCAGGCACTAAAGGTGGAGTCTTGTGAACAGGGTGATGTAAGTGCACAAAGCCATGTGGCCGAGTAGGGAAAGATATGTTTTGACCAGTACCTGAGGGCTCCTTGTGATGAGACCTAGGAAATCGCTGCTGATAGTGTGGAACCTGTCTGTGGGCAGGTATGCCCTTGGGGTGACAGAGTTCAAGACTGCCCTGATAAAGTCTAGAGTCGGGGAGGGGACCAGATTTGTGTGTGTTTATACTGATTCCCAGTGAAGAAAGAAGGTGGAGCACCATAGAGGTTGATATATAGGCTTCCTGATGAGATTTGGCAGCAAGGAGCTAATTAACCAGGAATGAAAAGACAGGGCGGCCATGAAGTCTGACATGAGCCGCTATGACTGAAAATACATTGGTAAAGACTCTGGTGGGGCTGCTGCATCGAAGGGCAGTACTCTATATTGAACATGGTCACAGCCTAGCTTAAATCCAAGAAAGTGTCTGTATGTGGGGAAAATATCTATGTGCCACCTCATTGTTTTTGTGGATACTGACTAATACGGCTATGCCTCTGATACTAGCTACGTGAAACTAAGTGTCCTTCATATCAAGAGCTATGAACCACATGCCCTTTTCTAGAGATGAAATTATTGCTGCCAACATGACCATGCAAAATCTAAATTGCGAATGAAGCAGTTGAGATGGCAATTGTTTTGTAGCGTGAAGCCAAAGCTGAGGACACTAATGGTTCCAACCCAGACCATGCAGCATTGAGAAGGAACTGGAGGCAGTCAGTCCACCCTGCCCTTTATCACCTCGGTCAGAGGCACAAGGTGAACCAGGACAGATGCATGGACCAATGGACACTACTTTCAAACTCTCCAGCTTCGTAACGCATGGTGTGCATGCATAATCCACAGTGGCATACAGTAGGGACCATCATTCAAAGAAGAAATTATGGATACTCTCCGATATTATGTTCTGGAGATTAAACAGACAAATATGCCAAAACCCCTATTTAAAGGGGAAAGAAACTATGGTGGCAGATGCCCTGTCCAGGAAGGAAGGCTCTGACCTGCTGCCTATGGATCAATCAGCAACTAACCTTCCTGCAGCTTTTTAGGAAAGAGAGGTCTGACCATAAAAGCATCTGAGTGCCAGAGGGCAAGGAGTGCACTGGTATCAGTTAATGAGTTTCAGCTGGCCTGACCAACTCCGTGTACCCCAACTCACTAGAGTTATCTGTATCTCAAAGATGTCATGTAATG